AGCTAGTTCTTATTCGAAGTTCTATGCTAAACACATAAATACAGTAAATAGTATTATTAGCAAAAGCATCTTATAGTCAATCAAACTGGTTGTCAGTCAGAATGTTGGCAACGCCACAAGAAAACCAATATGCAGGGTTGCCAAATCAACGATTCAACCACCTTCCAATACTGGAAACCAAAGAGAGCACATACAACTTTTGGCGCGCATCGGTAGCAAAGAGAAAATTGCCCAACACTGTTTGTAAAACCGTAAAGGTTGCAATTCAAAACAGATTTTGCAGCTGTTGCTAACGGTCAATCTGTATTTAATTTTTGTTTAAATGGCAGCCACGATTTTGTCAACAGCAATAAAGTGAATAGTAAATAATTATGTTGCAATGTAATATGGCTGTCAAAAGGCCTGACTATCAGGCATTGACAACTGTTGCCCGGTTGCCCAATCTCGAGTTAATTGAATATAAAGCACTTTGTTAAGGCAACGCCCATGGGAGACGACCCGTCGACCTCGTTGCAGTACGGCTCGAGTTTCGACAATGTAATTAATTGTGCATTTCAAGCTTTGTATCCGGCTGTAGTTGTTGCATGTATCTGTAAAATGTCTCTGGCCACATTTACAGCTAGATACGGAGCCAATTATAATTAATGTAAACCAAAAGTTAGGTTAGGTCAGCTTAAGTTAGGTTAGTTTGAGACGTTTGCCAAACTCTGCACACATAAATCTTACAGATTAAGTTTTGCAAATTAAAAGCATTCAACGACCTGGCACTATAATTTCATACTTAATGAAAACATAGAATTTCACAAGCGCCGGTTGCTAATTTCAGTTTCTATTTGTTGCCACAAATGTTGCCCACTTCTGTGGACCAATTCATTACAGTCGGCTATCAACAAGCGCTCTAATTAGTAGCCCAAGTTATCACAAACGTTTACGGGTTTCATCAGTCAGAGAGCTGTAAGCTCCACAAATGCTGCAACTGCCACTGCAACTGCAACTGCAACTGCAACAGCAATTGCAAGTGCAACGGCAATTGCAAGTGCAATAGCAGTAAATAGAAACAAAGCAAAAGTCAACTAGCACCAACTGCGCATTTTTCCAGGCAAAGGCTGTGCTCTACGCGCAGTTACCCTGTTAAACTGATCGATAACTGGCTTATGCGTATGTAGCTGCAGTGTTATCGATAAATTAGTTATATATAAAGATCAGTTAATAGATTAATAACTAGCTATAACAAAAGGTTCTTGAATATATATGCCTCATGACTCGGTAAAGCTGTTCGATAACTCGCGTAGTTTCCCTGTCGATCGATAACTGACTAATGCGTATATAGCTGCAGTGTTATCGATCAATTAGTTATATATATAGAGATCAGTTAATAGATTAATAAATAACTATAACAAAAGGTCCTTGAATATATATGCCTCAGAACTCGGTAAAACTGGTCGATAGCTCGTTACCGCTTATAGCTGTAATGTTATCGATAAGCATCGTTTCGATACACATGTATATTTCAAGCCAGCTGCTAAACTGCTTAGCCGATTATCTGCGCTCCATAAATGAAATGTTTTGTAACAACGTTAAAAATGCTCTTTAAAAAAGTTTTAAAATGGGTTTAATATTCTGAAACGGGTTATCGATAAACCGGATAAGCAGTTTAAACTCCTAGCCAATATACCCACATTTGCACTGCGCGGCAAAAAAAATGCTGATTTAAAACAGGCAAATGAAAAACATGCGGTTACCGTAACAAGAAGAATTTCAATTTGATTTTCTGGGGTTTTCTTTTAACCCAGCTCACACACACACACACACGCACACATACGCACTCAGATTGCTGCGCTTTAAATTGAAGCTGTCGTTGGAAGACTTGTTTTACAGCTACTTCCATTTGCAGTGCTTCGATTCAGCTCAAGCCTGATTCAACACTATACACGTCTCGCTCTTTCGCTTGCTGGCCTGCTTTAACAATATTTTTGGCGGCGAATGCAACAAAAGCGACCGCGTCTGCAGCGGGCAGCGGAGCGGAAGCTGCTCAGTAGAGATGTGCGCGGGCCGTGAGTTTTGTGCGTGCCTCTAAGGCACGAAAAACAACTCGAATACTCAGAAAGTCATGATGTAGCTCGACAAATACTGGCCTCATATAATAAGCAATATCTAAAAAACACACCAAACCACAACTGCCAATGCAAACCGAATCGAAAGAAACGCCTAATTTGTTAAATAAATATGCATGTCTACACAATAATTCCATTAAGCTGATTTGTCATAAGAAAGTGTAGCACAATTTTCTGGGCTCTTGGCATTTTTTTCGTGCTCGTGCTGGGCCGCGATGCAATTGTCAGGCCCGCGCCCATCTCTACGGCATAGAGAGTGCATTTGAATGCCGTTAAATAAATAATGCTATCAGTAGTTGGCGCCTTTGACGGCAATGCAAACAATGCAATTTCGACAGTTTAACTGTTAACACTCTGCCGCCACACCAAACTCTCTAACTGTACACTTGTCCGCTGCGCACAATGGGGCATATGGGCCGCATGGCAGACATAAATTAAAGACTTCAATTTCGCGACCTGCTGAGTCAGAAGAGCAAAACGAACGACGATGCGACACGAAAACAGTTAAGTCAACGGTATTGAGTCTCAAGGGAGAAGCACAGAAGAGTATGATAAGACTCAAAGGACGTTCGCTTGTTGCACAACAATCGAATGAATGCATTTGCAAAGATAAATATATAATTAACAATCTATTTAAAATAATAATGCTTTCTGTATGACTCACCACTTTAAATATGCCAATAAACAAGCGGCCGCCACTTTTCACTTTCACACACAAAACACAACTGAATTTCGCCGGCAACTCTTTTCGTATTCTCTTTAGTGCAACAACAAAAACGTAATGTGCATAAGCAGCAAGACAACGGCATAATTACAGTTATGTCGCCGAGGCGCCGTTGCGCACGTAGGCAAAACGAAAACAAACGGCGCAAGTAAGCAAATGCAAGACAAAGCCAGCAAGATCATGCGTTTGATCGGCAGAACTTCATTTTGCATCTCTTTTGCGCTGCTTGCTGTGTTTTTGGCATGCAGTTCAAGTGTGCGTGTGTGTGTGTGTGTAAAACTGCTTGCATCCACTTTAGTAAGACAGAGCCAAGGCTTGCGAACAAATTGAGCGTGTGTGCGTGTATGTGTGTAGTGGGTGGGTGCACATGCTTACGTTTGTAGGTATGTGTGTGTGTACATATGTACATGAAGCGTCAGACATCAACACAAAAAACCTTTCAAAAATCTAGTGCGTAGCATTCGTTTGGCGCACACATTTCAATTTCCGCTTCATTTACGATTTTCTCTTTGCTGCCTCCGCGTCCCTTTCGCTGTGCTTTCAATTGTATATATATATGTATATATATTTCTTTCCTCCATTCAAGCGCACAGCAGCAGCAATATCAATACCAATGCACAAATATACAAATCAACACATACACACAGACACAGACACACGGACACGGACACGCGCTCTCATGTGCTGTTCGGGCTGTTCATTAAAAATGAAGAGGATTCAGGTTTCGGCTCTCGCAGCAATCAGCTTCTGCTGTGCTGAACGGAATGCAACTATGTATGTATGTATGTATGTAAATGCCGGACATGAAAATTGAAGAACTCTTCAATAAGGTTGTTGCCTAAAGTCATTATTAAAGTAATGCAATAGCATTTATGGGTTGGTATCCAATAATAATTATCGATATTAGGCAAATGGAGAAAGATATCGATCAAAATGATTTACTTGTTAACCGTATGATACACAAGGATATATGTAGGTCCCTTGCACTTCTATCCTCCGAGCTCGTGGGGTTCACGTAAACTGCATCGACTCCTGATCAAGAATATATATACTGCCTGCATGAAATAAAACATTATACATTATAAATTATTATAGGGTTCAACCCCATTTTAAATGGGTTTGCAATTTTATTTTCTTTTAGCCGTTATGTGAATGTAAACCGTTACGCTTCAAATGAAACATGAAAATCGATAAGCCAAGTGGTTTGTGTACGTACTTACTAATTATGGCAACTGTGACACGAGCCCGGCGAATTGGCAGCGCAACGAAATTGCGTACTAAATGTGTGCAGCAGCGCCAGCAAGCACACGAACCTGCTTAACAGCTAAGACGCAAACCAACCCGTATTTTAGCACGACGAAATGAGCGTATAAATCCTGTTGCGCAAACGGGGACATTTCGCTGTGCCAGTATAAGAGCGAGCGAGAGCAATAAAGAGAGCGAGTGCACATTTGGCGGAACAATCATTAAGGTATGCATGTATTTGTTGTTGTTGTTGAGGTTGTTTGTTTGTTTGTTTTTGCTTTTGTCGGATTGATCGCATTGTTGCTGGGATTTGACATATTTATGTTAAAATGTAACTGTTGCTAACAACTGACTTAACGGTCTTGGTAACTGTTATCTATACTTTTTTGTTTTTTGTTTCTTGAACTTCTCTTTCAGCTTACAAAATACACATGTCTGACTTAAATTAACGGTAACTTTCTGCCCGAAAAATGCTTAACGACTACATAAAAATCTGCATTTACAGCTAGAACATAACATATACATACATATGTAAACATGCACAGACATGTCTCTGCATGTGTGTGTGTGTGTGTGTGTGTGTGTGTGTGCTTGTGTTCATGCACAGTCGAAAATCGGCTTAAGTACACCAATTTGCTATGCCCATCGGAAGGTTAACATAACCTCACTTAAACATGTACGCTGCTTAACACTAAAATGGTGTGTTAGGAGGAGAAGGAGGATGATGGGGAGGGGGGAGGGGGGGGGGCATACTATAAATACATACAATATATATATTTAAATATATCTATATACGTATTTAGCATAAACTTAAATCGAATATTTATAGTTTAAAAAAAAAATAATAATAATAATAAAAGAAATGTTAACAACAAATTAAAACAAAATTGCTGAAACACGTGCAAGGACTTAAACAACAAAAAGGGTATCAATATATACACATGTATATATATGTATAGAAAATGGCTTAAGGTGGATTGGGATTAGGTTTCAGTTTGGGTTTGGGCTTACAACGAAAACGCTTGCACTTGGTCCTGGGCTGCGCTGGGAGGAGCTGGGCTGCGCTGGGAGGAGCTGGGCTGAATCCTGGCGGCGCCGCCTTTAGAAGCGCTGCGGCAGTAGCTCGCTCTTGATGCCCCGCAGCGAGTGCTTCTTCTTGCGGTGCGTGGACAGATTGCAGGACTGCTTGAAGGAGGCGCTGCACATATCACAGTTGAAACGCCGCTCCTTGCTGTGCACCACCCGATGCAGCTCCATGCGCGATTTGTATTTAAATTTCAGTCCACAGGCGCCATAATCGCAGATATACCAGCGCTCGCCATCGTCCGAGGAGACGGCGCTGCTGGCGCTGGCCGTTGTGCTGTTCGACTCCTTTGCCACCAGCTCCGCCTGGCCAGCGGCAACGCCGAGCAGCGGCATGCCCAGCGTGCCGCATGCCTGCTGCATAACCGTTGCAGTGGCCCCGTTGCCGCCAGCTCCGACTGGGCCGGCCAGTGCTGGATGCGGCGGCGTTGTGCTGACCCCGCCAGCGCCAGGCGTTGTCACAAAACAGGGCGTTGGCGGCGGCGGTGGCGGCGGCCCCGGCACCACCTGCGACAAATGATAGATGGTTGTGTTTGCTGTTACCGTTCCCGCGGCGGCGCCGGCGCCGGCAGCGGCAGCAGCAGCAGCAGCAGCTGCCACCTGCATATCGGACGTCAGCGTCAGGCTGGTGGGCTCCACTTTGATGTCAATGCCGCTGCCGCTATTGTTGCTGCGTGCGCTGCTCTCGGCAGCGGCTGTCACCGCCTGCAGCTCGGCGGAGTCGCGCTGCTGCTGCTGCTGTAGCTGCTGCTGCTGCTGCTGCTGCTGTTGCTGTTGTTGCTGTTGTTGCTGCTGTTGCTGCTGCTGCTGCTGCGCCTCGTGCAGCTCGACAGCGGCGGCGACCTCGCGCTGCTCCTCCTCGCTGTACTTGGCACAATGGTAGAGGGCCAGCGGCACGGGCAATGCCGCCTGGTTCGCTGGGGCCGCCGCAGCGTCCACGTCCGGCAGGCAATAGCTGGAGTTGCGGCCGTGCTCCTGCTGCACAAAAGCAAACAAACAAACAAACATGAATACAACATTTTGGGCGCCAAAAGCAATACGGGTGGTATGCGTTTGGATTTGGTGGCGAGGTCTGTTGTTTGTGAGGTACAGGTGTGCTGGCTGTGGCGCTTACCTTGGCCAGGCCGTGCAGGAAATTGTGCTCATCTTGTATGTGCTTCCAGAATGCGTCCTGCGTTTGCAGCTCCTCCTGGCATGTATGACAGACAATCCAGAAACTGTCGCCGGATAGACAAAACTCACCCAGTTTCGTATAGATTTTATTATTCTTGCTGAGAATGCGCGGAAAACCCATTGTGTTGACGTTGTACGGCGACGCCTCGGGGCCGTCGGTTGCTGCGCTTTATTATTATTTATACGAATGTTTTGTTGGCTGGCCGCAGAACAGGGTTGCATTTAACAAGCTGTGCATTCAATTGCGATATATCGATAGTCGGCCAGCCGTTGTGCAACACTGACGCTTGAGCGCGCGCACGGCCGCACAGCGTTGCCACCTTTCAGCAACTGGCAAAGTGCGCAAAAAAAGAAAACATTTGAAAGCATTTTAGCATTTCTTTTGCCATTTATTTTACTTAATTTTGCTGCATTCTCATTTAGTTTCGTTATTTTGTAAATTTTATTTTCTGTTGGCCTTGAAATAAAATTAATAAACAAGAAAAAAAATATTGATTTATAAATACTTTGACGGCTTCAACTAACAATAAATATATATATATATATATATATGTGTATATATATATGTATATGTATGTTGTTTAGGGTGTGTGTGTGTGTGTGTGTGTGTGTGTGTGTGTGTAGATACTAAACAGTAGAAATTGAAACGAAAGTATAAATTTCTTAAATATTCTCATTTTCCCCCAGCTAATTTAATAACAGCACAAAAAAAAAGATATATATATATATATATATATATATGTGTGTGTGTGTGTGTGTGTGTGTGTGTGTATGTCTAGCATATAATTAGAATAAACAAAATTTGTAATACAAATAAATATGTTTAGCGTTTAGCTTGTTCTTTGCCAAATAATCCATAAAACGGATATTATTTATATAACTTATTACACATAATCCATGTAGAAATAGATGCATAATACATGATTCTATACATACATTGTATAACATAAGCATTTCTTTTTTTTTTTTTTGTATGTTTTCAACATATATATTAAACGTTCTTTTTAAATGTTTTTCTTTTACGTTTTCTATTCTTTTTTTTGTTTTTTTGTTTTTTTTTTTTTTAGAATAATTATTAAGATTTGGAAATTGTTCATTTACAAAGTACATAAGTAGTTGGTTTCTTATATGGAACATGTTTTAACATGGCTTGTGGCAAGTTCTGAAACGGAAGCCCGACACAAACCGAATGAATTTCATTATAGTACAATTGAATTTTTGTTTGTTTTGAGTAGTTTTGCAAGAAATTGTATTTCTTGCCTAGAATTACAAGTTAATGACTTTTTATATAACTTATTTATATGCATGCAGAGTTCAATGCACATGAAAATGAAATTAATTTATAACTATGCAGTCGGTTTTCACGCCAGCGAACGAGCTGTAAATCTTATTGTTTTTAATTCGAACAAAAAATAAAAAAAAAAAAACAAGCGAACTTTTCAATTTCTTGTGCTTGTGTGTGTGACCTTGAAAAATGTTTAAGTTATTAATTCAGTTTTGTTTTGTTTTGTTTCAGTTGTTGTTGGCTTTTTTAATGTAATCAGTTCTTTGAATTCTCAGTTTTGAAAAACAACAAAAATTTGCATTCAAACAAGAAAACGGCTTTAGTTTTAGCGAAAATGTACGATAGTTTCTTTTAGTCCAGTTGGTGCTGTCTGTGTTATCGATATACGTTCGCTACGTGTAACTATCGATAACCAATTACTTTGCGGCATATGATGCCCCGATAATTAGTTAACCTACTTACAAGCTAAACAAGAACACGATCCAAAAAAAAAAAAAAAAAAACAGTTATTTAAATTTAAAAAAAAAAAAAAATTAATTGTGTTGTGATATTATCAGATAAACAAATATGTATATAAATAAACTTAGGCATAGACTACAAATGTACATGGGAGAAGCGCATTTTTTAGTTTTGTTTATCTTCCTCTTCGTCTTCGTCTTCTTCTTTCTTCTTTCACTTTTTGTTTTTGATTTCGCTTAGAAGGGATCGCCCGCATACCAGGGATGCACCCAGGGCGCCGACGGCGGCGGCGTCGGCGGATATATTGTCGGCGAGGGCTGGCCATGCTGATGATGTGCAGCCGCTGCCGCTGCCGCCGCAGCGCTCATATGATGATAGGGCGCGGTAAAGGCGCCATAATAGGAGGCCGCTGCCAGCGCGGCAGCCGCCGCTGCCGATGTCGTTGGCGATGCTGCCGACGAGGAGTTCGTGGACGAGGCCGGCGACAGGCTGGCAATGCCGGCCGCGCAAATGCTGTGCCTGCGATGCATTATGGCCTGCCGCTGCTGGCGCACAGCTGCTGCATCGGCGGCGGCGGCGGCAGCGGCGGCGGCAACAGCAGCCGACGCTGGCGCAGCGCGTCGCACGGCGCGCTGCTGCTGCTGCTGCGAGGCCGCCTCCTGCTGCGCCAGGCTCCAGTCAAAGGTGTTGCTGTTGCTGTTGCTGTTGCTGCTGCTGCGTCGCGGCTCGTGCGCGGCTGCAAGCGGCGGGCTGAGCATATTGACAGCCGCCTTGCCATACATATTGGACAAATAGGCGTGCTCCGCCTCTGCCATGTGCTGTGCAGCGGATCTGCTGCTGCTGCTGCTGGTTTTATTGGCGCTGCTGCTGCTGCTGCTGGCGTGTTGCTGATGTTCGGCATGTTGCCGCTTCTTTTGCTGGCGCTGCTGCTCCTGTTGCTGGCGTGTTGCTGCTGCTGCTGCCGCTGCCGCTGCCGCTGCTGCTGCTGTTGCTGGCTGCGCTGTGTGCAGCGCCAGGGGCAGCGTGTGCGTGTGCGATTGCGTTTGCGGGTGTTGGTTGTGGGAGTACAACATTTCGTATGTGTTGCTGTTTCTGTGTGCTGTTTGTTGAAAGAGTTGCTGTTGCTTTTGCTGCTGCTGCTGCTGTTGCTGCTGCTGCTGCTGCTGCTGCTGCAGATGATGATGATGTTGTTGTTGTTGCTGTTGTTGCTGAATGTGTTTTTGCTGCTGCTGCTGTTGTTGTGGTGCTGGCGGCGGTGCCAAATGTGCCATGTGAGATGCGGGTGTTGTTTTATGTGGTTTGTCTGTTGTTGTTGTTGTTGTTGTTGATGAAGATGTTGCTGTTGTTGTTGCTGCTGCTGCTGCTGCTGCTAACATGTTATTGTTGTCTGTGACTGTGGCTGTTTTTGTTGTTGCTATTGTTTTTGCTGTTGATGTTGTTGGCAAATGTTGTGCTCCCCAGCTTAATTCCTAGCTTGTGCGCGTACGCTTCGACGGCGGCTGCTCCGACTGGCGTGTCATGAATGTCAACTGTGTCATGTACTTGATTATGTCGCGTACCTGCACCAGCGGCATATTCTCATTGTAGGTACGATCGTACTCCATCAGTATCTGTACTTGACGCCTGTGATGAGATGAGATTGACGAATAATAAAGAAAAGTCAGGTAAATCGTTGGACTCGTTACATATTAACTCGTCACATTCACTCGCTCTAATCACTCGATACTTTCATCAACTGTGCACATACTCTCGCTGCCTTCACTCGCTCAAGTCCACTCGCTATGCTTACTCGTTACTTTTACTTGCTGCTTTCACTCCCGTTACTTTTACTTGCTGCTTTCACTCGCTACGCTTAATCTTTAACTTGCCACTTTCACTCGCTAAAATCCACTCGCTACGCTTACCCGCTACTTTTACTTGCTGCTTTCACTCACTAAAGTCCACTCGCTACGCCCAATCGTTACTCTTACTTGCTGCTTTAACACGCTGAGTTCCACTAGCTCAACTTAATCGTCGATTCTTTCACTCGCCAAACTAACTCGCTGCAGTTATATTTTAACCTTTACTCGCTGCATTTACTTACAATTTTGACTTGTTGCACATTCACCCGCTAATTAATGCTAAGCGTAATATTCGCCAAATTCTACACGCTACATTTACTCAACACTCGCTCAACTTAATCGTCGTTTCTTTGGGCTGCTTTCACTTTCGCTAAAGTAGCTCGATGCAGTTATGTTTTAAGCTCCACTCGCTGCATTCACAACATTCACTCACTAGACTCACTAACCTGCCACTCGCTATATTTGATTGTTAGCTCGACTCGCTAAACTTACTCGCTACTTTAATTTGCTAATGCATACACTCGCTACATAAACGCCTCACACTTTTAGTAGCAGCGAATAACTGAAGTCTCCTGTTCTAGATGCATTCACTCGTTCACATGAACACGCTAATTTTACTCGCTGCATTCGCTCGCTACTTAAATTGGCTTAAAACTGAACTGAAGCTATAGCAAGAGTGTTCGACTTACCGGTTCGCCTTGTAGAGCTCAACGTGGAGCGCCTCAATTAGCCGCTTGCAATGATCCAGGGCGACATTGGGAAAGAAGTTCTTCTGGAATTCGGTGAGGGTCATCAGCTGTTCGGAGTCATTGTAGGCCTTCATATTGATGCAGGGCACCAGATGCTTATCAACGCACACCTTCTGCACCTTGTACGGCGTCAGATTCATGCTGCTGGTGGGTATCTCCGGTATGACGCACAAACGCTGTGCCCCATCACCGGACGCACTGGCGCAGGCAGCGGCCAATGCCGCATGCCGTTGCAGATGCATTGAGGCGCTGTTGGCGCTCGAATTGCCCGAACCACCGCCGCCTGAGCTGCCGCCATTGGAGCCGCTGCCGCCACCGCCGCCGCCACCGCCACCGCCACCGCCACCGCCGCCGCCGCTGCTGCTGCCGCTTCGGCCGCCATTCTGCTGCAAGTGCGCCAATGCGGCGGACATGCGCTGATGCTGGGCAGCTGCCGCCTGCTGCTGCTGCTGCTGTTGTTGTTGCTGTTGCTGCTGTTGTTGTTGCTGCTGCTGCTGTTGGACGGCTGCGGCCGCCTGCTGTTGCTGCTGATGAAATGCGGAGGCCGCTAGCGACCTTCGGGATGAAGACAAATCGATAACATCAGTGGGCGTTGTGCTGGGCGTGATTGTGGTGCTGCCAATGCCGTCCAAGTGGCAATGGCTACCACCGACATTAAATGTTGCCTGATGGCTGTGTGACTGACGACCGTAACCGCTAATCGATTGCTTCTGGTGGCGTCCACCAACGACCCCACCAATTGCACCACTCCCACTACCACTACCACTACCACTTCCACTGCCGCCGGCCAGCGATAATATGGCCAAGGGCAGGGCATTTGATTTCGTGGAACAAATGACGCTCTTTTGCCTACCCGCACCACCCGCACCACCCACCAACCCACCAACAGCAGCAGCAGCAGTCGCCGCACCACCATTGCAACTGCTGCCGCCGCCCAGCGGCGAGGCCGCCGTTGTGGATGCACTCGAGCTGGAGCAGGAACTGGACGGTGAGTGCAGAAAGTGTCCCGGCGGCAATTGTGGCGTTATTGTCACATTCGGATTGGAGGCCAGCGACAAGGTGGTTACACTGGCACCACCAATTGCCGGCGACATGGGCGGCGATATGTACGAGTTAAGGGGATGTGAATTATTATTATTATTATGATTATTATGTTGCTGTTGCTGCTGTTGCTGTTGCTGCTGCTGTTGCTGCTGATTCGCATTGGTCTGTATGGATGTGGAGAGATCAGGATTGGCTATCACCTTGTGTATAACGGCGCGCATCTCGTCCGTCATATTAAACTTCTTCTCAAAGTCCTCCAACGCTTGCGTGGAGTTCAATGGTATCGTGGTAACACCTCCACCAACACCGCCAACAACACTTCCCCGTTGCTTTCTTCCGCTTGATTGCTGCTGCTGCTGCTGCTGCTGTTGTTGCTGCTGTTGTTGTTGTTGCTGCTCATCGGGTATGAGGGGCGGCACAGTTGGCTTGGTAAAGGTGCCGCCCACTGATTTGCTGCTCTTGCTGTTCGCCTGCTTATTGGGATTATTGTAGTCGAGCATGGTGATCAGATCCGTGTCGAGCGGCAGCGATGGCAACGCCGGAAAGTTGCCAACCAGCCCAGAGCTGATGTGCGATTTTGGCGATGCACTGGCAACGCCGCCAACGCCGGCGCCGCCGGCGGCAGCGCCCTTCATTTGCTGTGTAAACAATAAACGTTGCGTCGGCGTCAACTGATTCCAGAGCGCCAAATTTGTATAATCAGCGCGCGTCGAGGGCATATTATAGTTGAAGGGACTGCCCAGCAGTGCGTGCATATTGGCAGCGACGGCGGCAGCGGCAGCGGCAGCAGCTGCAGCAGCAGCCGAGGAGCTGCTGTTGCCGCCATTCGGTGAGCAGCTGCTGCGGCTGTTGTTGTTGTTGCTGCTGCTGCTGCTGCTGCTGTTGTTTGCCGTTATCTGGTTTTTGTTGCTGTTGTTGTTGTTGGTGGTGTTGGCAGCGGAGGAGGAGGAGGGCGTAGACGAATTGTTGCGCGTACTATTGTTGTTGTTGTTGTTGGCAAGGACATGACCGTGATGGCCACGTGGACTGTGCGTGTTTGGGGAGTGTTGTGCATGGTTAAATGTGCTATGGTGTTGTTGTTGTTGTCGTTGTTGTTGTTGTGTCTGTTGTTGTTGTTGTTGTTGTTGTTGTTGCACCAGTGATTGCTCGACATTTGACCTAGAAACATTATATACAATACATGAGAGTCGCATTTAGCTTGGCTGCAAAATTTCCAGTTTTTTTTTTTTTTTTATTTTTTTGCTGTTGCTTTTGATTTTTGTATAAAATTGAAATTTATTTTACTCTTTTTTTTTTAATTTTCTTCAAGCATTTTTCAAATTTTGTTGATACGCGCCTAACACTTTGCCACTCACAATACACACGCACACACGCACACACTGTTAACTGTTAAATGAATGCATTTATCGATTATTTGCGAACTTACGCGCTGCAAAGCTTGAATTTGCCTAAGTCTGGCTACTCTTGCTGCCAGATGCCAGTGTTGCTCTACTCTGTGCATTCGATTAAAACACTCCAACAAAATTGGGGCTTATTTTTTTGTTGTTTTTTTTTTTTTTTTTTTTTTTTTTGGTATATTTATTTGTATTATTTTAGCCCTAAGCGCTTTATTGCTATAATCTAACACACGTTCAACGTGTGTGTATGTATATGTGTGTGTGTGTGTGTGTGTGTGTGTGTGTGTGTGTGTGTGTGTGTGTGTGTGTGTGTGTGTGTGTGTGTGTGTATGTATGTATGTGTGTGTGTTTGTGTGTTTCTGATATTGAGTACAATTTGCATGTTGTGTGAGATAGTATGTATGTGTGCGTGTGTGTGTGTGTGTGTGTTTGCAATTAACAATATTTGATTTAGTTGCAACTAGCAAGCAGTGTTGACAATTCAGCTGTTTTCTAGCTAGAATTTGGCTGGTTACGTAGCTAGTTAGCGGGAATTAGCTACTCCTTGGCCAATCTGCGATTGTGCTTCTTCTTCTTGCATTTTAGCTATATTTAGCACATTTGTTTGTAACGGCAGCTGGTCACACTGCTTGCATATTGCAACTTCACAGCTAACATTCGTTTTTATTTATTATTATTATTATTATTATAATTGTATTGGTTTTTTCATTTCTTTTCTTTTTTTTTAACATGAACTTTCTTAATGTTTAATATCAGAAAGAAAAAGAAAAAAAAAATAGTATAAATACATTTTGGATTATTGCTTGTGAGAATTTTGTTTGCCAAATTTGATCAACTTGTACACGCATTATATATAATGTTATCTTGATCTCTCACGCACTCTCTCTCTCTCTCTCTCTCTCTCTCTCTCTCTCTTTCTCTCTCTCTCTCTCTGTCTCACTGTGTATGGGGATAGTTTAGGTATCTGATTCTGTGCAGTTGATTTTGATTGCGGCTCTTGTTAATTCGATTCATATCTTGAGGCCGGGGTTGAGGTTGAGTTCTTTGTGGATTGTTGGTGTCTCTGCCATAGGGGGTGGGAGGATACCTGTCACCAGAATTTCTTGTTAAAATTCCATTTTTTTTTGTTTTTGGTTTTTATTTTATTTGTTTTTTATTTATTGTGATTTTGTTTTTGTTGTTGTTGTTGTAAATTGTTGACGTTTTTGTTTAAGTCTGATGTCACGATTGTTCATTTTGATATCATTTCAAGTGCGACAAAATTAGTTAGGGGTAGTCAGTACACACAGCCATAAATTATATGTATGTATATATGTTTGGTTGTATATATATTTCAATATATATGTATGCATATATATATATATTTATATATATATTTTTTTTTTATCGATAAGAATAGCAATAACAATATTTTTTTTTTAAACAAAAGTAAATAAAAAATATTGTTTTCAGAATTGTTAATTGCCTATTTTCATTTTTTTTTTTAATGCGAATTCATGTTTTTCAAAATATGTTGTAGTTCTTCTATCAGCGTTTTATCTAAAAATCTCATTGAAATTAAGGTATATTTAAAAAAAAAATAAATAAATAAAACAAATAATCGGAATGACAAAAAATAGTCTTAAAAGGAAACGATTAGTTGTTTTGAGCCAAGCATAACAAATAGAAATGTTTTTAAAAAAAGCGTTAACAAATTTCAGGGCATGCAAAACTACAGCAAAAATTATTACAAATATAACTACGAAATGGAATGTGTGTGTGTGTTGATGGAGAGCTTTTCATTTTGTTTTTCGAGTCCTGGGCTTAGTATGTTCATCGTTTGTTTTTTGAACTGTAACCCAAACAAAAAATAAAGTGTGAAGGAGACAAAAAAAAAACAACCTATTTTCAATATCGATTTGTGACACAGAACACCCTAATGCATGCCAAATTTAAGAAATCGGCTGGCAACTTGGGTTTTTTGTGTTTATTCTTGGATTATTTTCGAAATTTTAGATTTGTTAGTTACGTGGATAGATAGTTTGTTTAATTTGTATTTAATTTGATATAGTGTCGATATTTTGAAAAACATATGTTGTGAGGCCCTCTTTTAATTTGTTCATATCAAAATATCAAATGCAATGGAAAAGCTCCGTTTTTTTTTTTTTTTTTTTTTTTTTTTTTTTTTTTTGACTACAACAACAATAAGAAAAACATGGAAAGATTTTTGTTTGTATTCAATAATTACAATTAATTTTTTTTTTTTTTTTTGGCGTGTTGGAAATAAATTACGAAAAATAATGTGGCGTGACGTTTTTTTTTTTTTTTTTTTTTTTAGGGAGGGACGGAAAACGAATGGTAGCAAATAAGTTATGCGTGTAACGATTATTTTTCATAATTTCATAACGTACATATTTATCAAAAATGGTAAACACAGTCGAAAATTGTATTAAAATTAAATAAAATGCGTGCACAAACGCCGATATCGGGTTTCTCTTTCAATTTTTCTTCTTTTTTTTTTTTTTTTTTTTCATTACGACTAAGATGAAAAAACAATTGGTGCAAAGTAGAAGAAAACAAAAAAAAAAAAAAATTAAAAAAAAATATATAATAAATAACAACAACTTGCTGCTGCTTTTATACATGTTTTTAATTTAGTTCGTATCACGTGGCACCCTAATGGCCGAAAAATATCCAACTTAACTTAGAGCGAAAAAGTAATGTATGCATGTACACATAATAAACGAATTACAACAAAATTTGAAAAACACAATTTCTGCGCAGAAAAAAAAATAAAGTTTTGTTTTTATACTTTGCTAATCATTAAATATGATTGATATGTATGTCATATATATATACATATAAATAGATATATATATATATATATACATATGTATGCATAAAGAAAAGCAAAATCAAAGTAAGTAGCAAAAAGTAATTGTAACTGTAATTGCAAATTGCTTTCATTATATGTATTTTATGTATTTTTTAAAACGGCGCAGTTACAAATCGATAACAACAAAAATGATATCAATCGATACATCGATTGCATATGTGAATACTTACATGTGATTGGCATTCTGTCCGGCCGCCGAACGAACCAGAGGCGGCGGCGCATTGCCGCCACCGCCGCTCTGACTGTTCACCGAGGACATTGAAATCGCAGGATTGTTATAGGAATACGGTTGTGGGCGGCTTCCACCCAGCATCATGTTGTTTAGATGTTCGCGGTATGTGCCGCGGTTGGCATTCGCATGCGTTTGTTGCGCCTACAGGCAGCCGGAATGAGAGAGAGTAAGAGAGAGAGAGAGAGAGAGAGAGAAGAGAATGGTGAGATAAATTGTTGTAAAAATGCAATGTGCGAGAGTGAGTGCGAGATAAAATAAACCTCAACAGGTTGCCAAGCACAGACACACACACAAAAACCACACACACACACATGCATACGTTTGCTTCAACTACAACTACAACTACAAAGAGAGCATAGCGCAATGTATGTATGTGTGCATGTATGCTTGTATGCATGACCCAGTTTCTAAGCTGCGGCTGCGGCTGCGGCTGCTGGGCTGCTGCTGTGTTGCCAAACTGTATGAAAAAAAAAAAGGTGTATTCAACTAAATTTGTATAGAGAAACATAGGGATTACATTAACTATGCATGTGCCAAAGACTTGGCTAATTAGCTTTGCCCTTTTCAGTACCATTAGGAGATTTACGCTTTTTTATCCTTACCCGCGGCACGTGGAATAAGTATGTGTCATAGCTCATTAAAATCAAGAGTTATATTAAGGACGCTGATTAGCGCGTTTTTCTTTTGAACAAACGAACACACACGCGCGCGCACACATACACACACACGCGCACGCACACGCACACATACGCCCATTCATTGCTCTCGTGCGTCATTTCTGGCGAAGTGGGAGAGAAACAGTGTTACCAGAGGGCGGCAAATGCAACTGCTGACCTTCAGACTAATTAGTACCACAAGTATTTATCTCTTTAATTAGCAAATATCTGCAGGAGTAAGCCGCACACATGTTGGGATTATAACAAAAAAAAAAAAAAAAAAAGGAACAAGCCGTAAATTTGAACAAATTTCGATGCAGCTCGTGAACTATTTGGAAGCTGAAAGATTGAGCTGCAAACATCACAGCAGCTTACACGATCAACGGTTGAGTAGTTTGAACGGTTCACTGGAACTGTTTCGCATGACGTTTTGATTCTGCGTGCTTTTCGCCTGACCTTGTACATTTAATTAACCCCTTTCAAAAGTATTATTCACAAGTTTGTGCTACTTTATTGCAGTAAAGCAACAAAAACGAATATTTGACTTCCCTTTGCATTCATTAAAAACTAGAAGCTTCGATTATGTACTGGACAGACAAATATAGACTACTCATTACCTCTCTCTTAACCTAGTCACAGTTTGGTTGCAAATATTGGCAGCATACGTAAATTGACATTATTATGAAAAGCTTCACTACGTTACGTGCTTAGCGGCGACCACACATGCAAATACAGCCAACTGTTGGAACTGTTGAGCCGAAGAAGTCTGAACGTATTGAACCTATGAACCGTTGGAACTGTGCTAGTTCAAGGGGTGAATTGGTTCACGGCTCCGGCGAATGCTTGCTTAAGCAAAGCCGTTCGATTTTACGTGTGCAGGCAGCGCCATATTCTGTTTACAGCTTAAAACGATCGAAAACGACTTCAAGTTATTTCGATAGTTGGCAATTGTCCCGCCCTGTCTAATGGGCGTGGTTGCAATATTTTATCAGGTTTTGCGGCTACATAGGGACAAGTCGGACATTGCACAAAACCAAACAGCTCTCTTTTACTGTGTGAACAGAGTATAAGGTATACAAATCAGGCCACACATACACACAAAGGTATCAAATTATCCAAGCATCGCAGTTGCCGGAGTGGGAGGTAGAGAGAGGCTGATAATGTTACTGTTAAACGGAAGGGGGGGGGGGGGGGGGGGGGGGGTCACGGCTGCCACTAATCATGCAAATGTAAAGCTGGCAGCATTTTGGTACTAAGTACCAAAGAAAGGTACATTTGAATTTAAAAACAACCAGCGTGCGCAAGAAAAGGTACTTTTCTTTTTTGTGACGTATGCATATGGTGAATTCTCAGTAAATTGTGGTACTTTTTGTTTGCGAAGTGGCAACCGTGGCGGAGAGCGCAACTGTGTTGTTGTTGTTGTTGCTTTAAGTGAGCGAAAGACGATATCGATAACAATCACGATAGGCCCCCGTGTTGATATTGGATAATTGGCCTATCGATATTTTGCAGAGCACAGCAAATATAAGAAATTACTCACCAACATTTGAACATGTAGTTGGGGCACATTATTCTGGCTATTCATCCAGCCACCGGTGGCCAGCGCCTGGACGGTGGCCTGCGTCAGCATGCGCGTATTGCCCTGCGTCTGTAGCATGGCCGCTGCCGCTGCGTGTGTATTGAATGCAGCTGCTGCTGCCGCCGCCGCGGCTGACGAGAAATTCCCACCGTTTGCCACACCATTGGCAGCGGCAGCGGCCGCGACTGCGGCCCGCTGCTTCATCAAATGCTGCTGCTGCGCCGCAGCCGTCGAATGCTGCTGCTGTTGCTGCTGCTGCTGTTGTTGTTGCTGTTGCTGCTGCTGATGCTGGGACTTTTGTGCTGCGGCTGCGCTGCTGTTGCTGTTAACGCTGGATGTTATCTTTGGCGGCGGCGCCGATGGCTGACGCGTCCAGTTAACCGAATTGTTGGCATTCGAACGATTGCCGATCAAGAGATTGGAGTCGACCACCTTGCTGGGCCAATAGTCCTCGAATTCGGTGCCATTGGGAAAATAGCTTTTGATGTCTGTCAGCGAGATGACGGCAACATTTTCGCTGGAGAATAGCTCGTTGCGTATGCCCTGGACTTTGCAGCAGAACTTCAGATAGGCCAAATCCCAGCCGTTTAACAGTTCGGCTTTTGTCTTAAGATTTTCGGTTTCGCCTTCGAAATAGAAAAGCGGCACCACCTGCTGATTGTTGCGCACGGTATACGGCACAACGGACTCCTTGTTGATGCGTATGAAGCCGCATTTCTCCGACGGCGTTTTGCTGCCGCCGATCAATTTGCGATAGCATATATCGAGAAATTGATAAAATTTCGATGCATCGCTTAGACGCACAACCAGATCCTTTTGCGTGAATATATCGCGTCCGAATTCGACATCGCAATGCTTGTGATTGATCTCGATAAAGAGGCGCGCCTCGGCATCAGTTATATAATAGCTGCGCACACAGGTGCAGCTCGAATAGATGTCCGGATGCAGGTAATTTAGATATTTGCCGAGCAGCTTCAGTTCGATCATTCGCACAGAACAATATTTCTCCGATTGCCTGTATATATACGGTATCGATACTTTGCCAAATTGCGCCCAACCAAAGTGTCCCTTTATCGATTCCTCATCGCACGGCCCGCCCGATGATTTCTTATCGTTATCGCCGCTTATCGCGCCATTGGCACGCCCATTGGCCGCCAATGCGGGCACCACCTGCATTGTGCCGTTCGGCAGCTTCTGATGCCGCGACAGGTAGCTCATTATATTTGTCTGGCCATTGCCATTGGTTAACGGTGGCTGCATAGCACCAACGCTGCCGCTGCCGCCGCCAGCTGCTGCTGCTGCTGCGGCGTTGGCGCCACCGACGCCGCCATTTGCATGCTGCATGGCCGCCTGCCGGCTGGCCTGCTGGGCGGCCTGCTGTTTTTGCTGCTCCTTCATTTTGGCCGCCAATTCGCGTATCTCGGCATCATCCTCCTGCTTGACGGGCGGACCGAGCGCACCGCCCAAACTGTTGCCATGCAGCGGCAGCGGCTGCCCATTGGCATCAATCACGCTGGTGATCTGCACATCGTCGCTGCTGGACATGGCTGCGGCTGCGGCTGCTGCTGCTCTCACACTCGCTCGCTCTCTGACGCGCTTTATTTTGTATTTTTGTTTTTTTTAGTCTTGTTTTTGCTTTTATTCTCTTTATGCTGTTTATGTTTTAGTGCCGCTTTAATTCATGTTGCATGTGCTGCAATTAGGCAAAATTAAAATTTTAATAACTGGTTTGTATAGACACAAATATAAAAAAAATAGCACAACATATGACCAGGGGGGAAAGGAGGGTTAAACAAAAAAAAAAAAAAAACAACAAATCGAATTGACAGCAAATTGACACACGCATACAGTGCACACTCTTTCGCTCTCTCGCTCTCTTTGGCACGCTGTCTCTGGCCCGGCATGGGCCAGCCGCTCAGCTGACACAGATATGGCAACGCTGGCGCGGCCGTTGGCCATACACACGCACACGAACACATACACACACACACACACACACACACACACAGCAAAACGTGCTGCTTGCTGCTATGTTGTTGATGTTATTTTGTTGCTGCCTTTTGCTTTTCAACTCTTTTTTCGTTTTGCGTTTGCTGCTGTTGTTGTTGTTGTTGTTGTTGTTGTTGTTGTTGTTTGTATATCTTGCTGTTTCTTTCGCGCGCACTTTTTGCTGTTGTTGTTGTTTATGGTATGAGTTTGGCTGCTGCTGCTGCTGCTGTTGTTGTTGTAGCGTCCGGCAGCGACTGCGCTGCCAGTGTTTTTTTTTTTTTTTTGCTTTCGGTTTTGCAAATTTCTTTTTACAAGCAACTGTCAAACATTTATACACATATATAAAATAAGTTGCATTTACTTATGTATATACTTTATAAACATATTTGTATGCATGCATTTCACTATTTTATTATTCACTTACAATTTCTGATTATGTTATAGTTGATATTGAAACTTGAAAAAAATGTAGTACACAACGGCATAATAGCTACTCTTTTTTTTATTATTATTTTCGTATAGCTTATTGAATTTTATATACAATGTATATGCATATAATTTGTATATATCTATGTATATATATTTTGTGTTTTTGTTTGTTGTTGATTAAACACCGCCGACGCGACGCCTACAACGACGACGGCGACAAACGACGCTAAAAAAAAAACGCTGCTTTTAGCTCTGCGGACTGCGTCGAGACGTCCTCCCGTCTTCGCAATACACAAACGAGTGTGATCGTTGTTACGAAAATTATTTCAACGAAGTCAACTGAAAACTGTCTGCGCGTGTGTGTGTGCGTGTCTGCCACTGTGTGTGCATGTGTGTGTGTGTGTACATAGCAGCGACGTCGACGCTGACAGCGCAGCAGCTTTGTGTGTGTATACACTGAAATACATACACACACACACACACACACACACACACGCACGCATACAATAGCGCAAAAAGAAATACAAAATACATAGAGCTGACGCTACTGCCGGCGCTGCAGCCGCAGCCGCAGCAGCAGCAGCAGCAGCAGCAGCGGCTGCAGAGGCACGAACATGCAACGAACATTTTGCCGAATTGCTGTTGTTGTTGTTTTTGTTGCTGCCTGTCCACCACCACACACCTCGCAACCCCCTTGTGCACTTCTTCTGCCGACTAGCTAAGCGGCGCTGCTAGCTACATCTAGTACAACAACGGCATAGTTACAGTGGTGCAATTCGATTTAAGCTGGGCAACAGCACGAGAAATCAATTTATGTACATACATTCAGGGCAAATCATGGAACAAATCATTGATACATAACTTTAAACGAATACATCAATTTGTTGTTGTTAGAAGGCCTTGGCAAGTTGAAGACCCAATTTTTTTTATCTATGTATATCTATATGTATATGTATATATATATTTATAAATTTTTTGTTTGTTTCCAAGTGGGTTGTTTTTAACGTATTTTATATATATATATCTTAGGGGGCAAATCAAGAAAACTAATATCCAAAAATGTGCCAACAACTATTTAGATGCGAATGGGGCTTGTACCCACTCTTTGTGGCATTTTGAAGTTATAAATGAAACAAAAACATAAAATATATAAAAAAAAATAAAACAAGTTTTTTCTTTTCCAAAAGATGACATTTTGAGAAAAACTCATTATGTTAGTAACGAAATATAACTGGAAAAACTGTGGAGCATAAACAAAGTATTTAGGTATAAAACTGTGTGCTTAAATATTTGGAGAAGTTTCGGAATATAATTACGGCCAGAATCATGCATATTGCACCACAGTGCAAGCGAAGCTTAAGCCATGTACGATTCATATAGAGCTAGAGCTGATGGCGGCGACGTCGACGGCTGCGTCTGACGCTAGCTTTGGCTCTGGCTCTGTGCTCTGCTGCGCTGTGCCTTGGCTGCAGCGTGGGTCAAATATGCCACAGTCCAGCGGGCCTGCCGCCCGTGTGCATGTGTGTGTGTGCGTGTGGGTGTGTATTTTGGGGCAGCTGAGCGCACAGTGTGCGGGGGCGTCTCTATTTTTGGCAGCGCTATGCTAACCCCGCCCCGCCACCACCGCCAGCAAGAGCAACAACAGCAACCCCCTACCCCAACACCACCACCACCACCACCACCACCACCACCACCTTCACCTCCACCTCCACCACCCGGCTCAAACAACGCGACCCCTGGCAATACGACTTTCGTATGGCATGCAGTCGCATGGTAGCCGGGTACGCTCACAGGCCCTGGCTCTGTGTACGCTCCCTTTCTCTCTCACGCTTCCTTTCTCTCTCACTCGTTCGTTCGCCCTCGCCCTCACGCTCGCGCTCTCGCTCTCCCTCTCGCTCTGCCGCTTGCTGGCCATCTCATTCCCTGTGTGTATGTGTGTGTGTGTGTGTGTATGCAAGAAGTTTTCGTTATTCGTGCGCTCTGTGTGCTCAAGAAAGGCCCCGCTTCGGTCGGCAGCAGCAGCGGCAGCAGACAAGACAGCAGCTGCCGACGACATTGCGGACAGCGGACACGAGAGCGCTTCGTATGTATGTGTGTGTGCGTGTGTTTGAGTTGTTGCTGCTGCGACGCTAGCTGGGCCATTGTACGGTAAAAAGCAAAAACAGCGACGGAGGCGTCAGCTGCGCAGCACTAAAAGGTCGCACTTTGAGTGCATTTTCCACAACCAAAAAAAAAGAAAGAAAGAAGTAGAGAGAGAGAGAGAGAAAAAAAGCATTGAAAAGCAAAAAACAAAAAACAATTTCAGCTGCGCGCTTACCTGAACCGGGCCATAAAACGAACTAACGCGCTCTCAGCCGCTCTCCCGGCCTAAAAGCTTGTTCTTCTATTAAAGCAGAGCTTTACTTTCGCAGCTGCGTCTAAAATTAGGCTCGTGTGCCTCTCTGTGCGTGTGTGTGTGTGTGTGTGTGTGATTTTTCAGCGATTCGCTAATTAGTCAGCTGTGTTGGGCCTTTACCGTATTTTGTGAATACCAAATAAGCTACGGAGGGACTTGTGTTTTCCCTAACGTTAATTACAATTCATATATGTATGTGTGCATGTATGTGTGCACATTCATAAGCCACACGCACACGCATGTATGTATGTGTGTATGTAAACAAAAAGCAAAACAATATATGTATATGTATGTGTGTGTGTGTGCATACATACACAAACACGCAGTGGCATCGATAAGCATTGGCTTTTTGTTGTTGTTGTTGTTGTTTTTTTTTCTGTCTTCTTCTTTGTCGGGCAGCCCGAACGGCGGCCGCGCAAAGCGAGGCCCCGTTTCATGCACGCTTTGCTATGTAAACACAGCCAAGCATATGTGTGTGTGCGTGTGACTAACAGCAAGAGAGAGAGAGAGCGAGAGAGTGAGCGTGTGAGCGTGTGCTCGCCTCTCGCCATTGATACGAATAGGATGATGTGAGGGGGATGCGGTATGAGTGATTGTAGCTATTTGTGCATTGGCTATACTTCGATATGATATTAACACGAGGTCCGGATGGGAGACGGGGTCGGGATTGGGGGCTTCTCGCTCTCTCCAGTGTTTCCAAGCGTGCGTGCCACGTCACACAGTGCAAAGGTAATCCGAAGCGTGCAAGTCCTTCTTATATTTCTCTACACGTGTGTGATTGATAGGTTGGTTATGCAATTATTTGTAATACCATTTAGCTGTTATACAATTCATGTCTAGCCTGTTTGAGTGATTGATTGAATGACTGACTGACTGATAGATCGAGTAACGGACTAATTGAGAAGAGATTTGTGTTATTAGATGATTGAACGGCAAACTGATTAATTGACCAAGTGACAAACTGATTGACTAGCTGACTGACTGATTAACTGATTGACTGCCAAACTGATTTATTGTCTGCTTGACTAGCTGCTTGACTGATTAACTGACTGATTGACCAACTAATTATTTGGCAGACTGACTGACTGAATAAATGATTGCCCGATTGAACCGCTTAACCGCTGATTGACTGGTAAACTAATTGACTGACAATCTGCTTGACTAGTTGATTGACTGATGAACTGGCTGATTGACCATTTTATTAATCAACTGACTGACTATGTAACTGACCAATTAACTGATTGACGGACTGACTAAATGATTGACTAATTGACTAGCTGATTGACTGGTAAGCTAATCGACTGTCTGCTTGACTAGCTGATTGACTGATGAACTGGCTGATTGACCATTTGATTAATCAACTCACTGACTATGTAACTGACCAATTAACTGATTGACGGACTGACTAAATGATTGACTAACTGACTAGCTGATTGACTGGTAAGCTGATTGACTGACAAACATTTAATTAACTGGCTGACTGACTAACAACAGCCTGATAAGTTGTCTGCTTGATTAATCAACTGATTGACTGACGTTACTCACCCCCCCCCCCCCCCCCCCCCCCCCCCACCATCGTCGTTGTCACCATCTATTCCATTCCCCTCGCTAATCCTCCATTGCATTACAACTTTTCGAACAAGTTTTCTTTCTGCTTCATTATCACAATTCACATCTTTGCTTATCATTTTGTTGTTGTTGTTGTTTTAGTCAATGCAAATAAAACAAGTAAAACAGAAGTAGAAGTAAAAAATGGAAGAGGAAGACGTGCTTAATGCA